GGTGTGACTGTATAGGGGATGGATTTGCACAGAAAGGTGACAGCTTGGGGAGGGGGCGGTTGTCGGGGGCTGGGTTGTGTAGAGGATGTGAGATTAGCTGAAGGGCGAGGGTTGGTCACATAAGAGGGAGAGCTTTATTGGGGGTTCGGAGAAAGAGAGAGATTGGGGGTGTTGTTGCATGTGTGGAGAGAGAGATTCAGAGAAGAGGGATACCTAATATAAGAGGAAGGTTGTGGGGGCAGGGGTCGTAGCAGCAGGGGTGGCGATGAAGCTAGAGCTGGTGAGAGAGATAGAGTAATCGTTCAAAAAAAAAAAAGAATAAAAATGATTTGAAACATAAAACATAATTCAGATGTAAAAAGTATGTGCATTTCCAGAACATAATTCATTAAGACATTTCACCGAGCACACATTAGTACAACAATAAACAATTCAGTCTAAGCAACAAACCACTCATACATGCATTTAAAAAAAAATGTTTATGCAATTAATGATAATGAGCATGCAAATATGAATAATTGAAGCATAAAAAATCAAAAAACAGTTTGAATTCTAGCCATATCTAACCCAAAGGCTATGACTTTTGTTAAACCTATTGCAACAAAACCACCAAGTATTGCAGGTTGTCATTCTGTTTCCAACCGTACATACAACCTCAACATAAAGGTCCACAATTTGATTGCTGATTTTTTGGCAACTCTTGGTGTTCAGACTGAAGCATGTACTGAGTTCTTTTCCCATAGCAGTCTGCCTCTGTCTGGCAGATTGCTTCTTAATCAGGATCAGTATGGACTGCCTACTGCAAGGAGAAGGAATGTTGTAGTTTGTAATCAAAGGCAAGGCGTTGGATGATTGAAAGGCTGGTTTTTGATTGGTTGAAGACTGAGCAGTTGGTCTGTTCTGACTGTTCTAGTCTGTATTTGCAAATTAGTCTGGACAGGTACTGTGTTGCTGCTTTTGAGATTGGTAAGTAGGAAAAGGCCAGGAGTAGGGTTGTGTGGAAGGTGTTACATTGGTCTGTGATGATCAGATGAATAGTTTTAATCCTTTTGAAGGATTAAAGCCAACTTTTGTGATGGGCAATGATGATGCATCAGGAGGCTCCAGCAGATTGACGCTTCTCTGTAGAAGGTGTTGTGCTGTGTTGCTGATTGTTAAGAGGGCGAGAAGTAGGATATGTGCATACTTATCAGCTGAATATGGAGTTTTCAGCTTCAGTGTTTGGCTCAGGTAGAATCAAGAGGATCCAGCTGAATCTGATGCAGATCCAGTTTGAGCTGAATGATGAAGGAGCTGATCTGTTGCTGCTGCAGCTAGTCAGACAGAACAGTAGCTGAGCTATGAGAGCAGTTTACTGTACAGGATTTGTTTGGCTATTTGTAACAGAATTTTTTGTACAGTCCACTGTTTTGTTTGTTAAAACAGTTACTGTTAGCTTTACAGTTTCTGTTTTTTGATTCTTGTAATCTGTGAGTTTCATTAATAAAATTTTCCCTCTTTTTTCAAAAAAAAAAAAACAAAGGTGCACAACCAATGCCACGCTACTCCAAGAAAGAAATATCCGCCAATTATTCCAAGCAACTTCATTTCCTCGCAGAAAAACACCATGCCAGTGGATCAAAACGAAACAAAACAAATAAGATATCAATAAAGAATGATCAAAAGAAATTACAACTCTTGAAACTAAAAGAATAAAGACCTTAAGCCTTCAGTCACTGAACCTCACACAACTATTTAGCCAGAATTTTTACTCAATTTCAATGATAGATCTCGGGCCTTTAATCTTTTTCTGAACATTGAAAAAAAAAAGATCAAGGAAAATTCTCTAATATCAAAGAAAAATTGTAAGGGTTTTGTTTACCTTTGCTTCCATTTGATGTAGAATCAATCAATGGGCCAACCAATTATGTAATTAATTGGGTGAGAACTTCCATAAAAATGATATCTTTTATAATTTACTCCTAGTCTCATCCAATAATTCACAAAAAACAACACATCAAGGACAAAACAATCATCAATTGTCCCTAAATATTTATCAAAATAAACAGCATGAATTCTGCTGAGAGACATCACATCGAATTCATACTCTTTCTTCCTCGAATTCCACCGAAAGACGTCACATCGAATTCTGCTGAGAGCTTTCAGTATGACCCTGCCAGATAAAGCCAGGGTGTTAGACTCATAACTTTATAGTCATCCATTGCGATTAAAAATGAAAGTACTCTTCAAGTTTACCTATTATAACAATCACTTTCACATCATCCTTTTGCAGAGATTCCTCAATGCTCTGTTTTAAGCTGAGCAGAACTGGAAAGAAAAATATCATGTACTCAGAAAGCTTAGACCACCAAAGGTGGACTGGGGAAGGAGGGGGCGGGGTGCTAGGGGGGATAAAGAAATGAATAATTTGAGTTGGATTGCATATTTCAACTTTACATAAATGGACAAAAGAACCAGTAAAAAAGACTTAATGAACTTTGAGAATGAGTAATGACTAATACTAAAATTTAGAGACTAATACTAAAATAACAATATTTAAAGACTTAATTAATAAAATTTAGGGTTAGGGAAAAGTGGTAAACAACAACAAAATACTAATGATCTGAAAAGAAAGGAGCTTAATTTTGAAGAAAGTATTTTAGTACCTAATGAAACTTTGAGAATGAGTAATGACTAATATTAGAATAGCATTTTTCTGACTAAATTTATAAAACAATAGCCTTATTCTGCTAAAAAAGTCACTACCCAAAATACAACCACACTAACAACAAAGTTAAACTATTGCAAGAGTCTGGCATAGGCAATAAGACAAACATTCAGTAGTTGCACTTAGTTAAACTCAACAAAGAATGATTTGTTTTTCCCAAGTTCCTCTTCCAGCAACCTGATGAACTCAATGACCATTAGCCTATTCTTTTTCTTTTTATGTCTCTGCCAAAATAGCTTTATTTAATGCTAGCATTGGGAAGTGAATTTGCATATATCTTCTTAACTTTATTCTGTATTGAAGCCATGGATATTCACATGCGGTGAATCCCTAAAAAATCCTATAGTGGTAACAACAGTATCCTGCAAATTAGCACAACAGGTTTGGTGATGGCTAGCGGACTAACATCAGTTTCACCCATGTTCTCCGATTGGGCATCTCCCAAACATGAAGAATTTGCCTTTTCCAGCTCCATAGCATCCATAGGTTGAGCATTTTCACAAACACTTTGCACACAATATGAAGATTCTCTACTATTCTCACCACTACTCAAATGGGTTTTCTCGGATATTAAAAATCCAGAAGAATTTTTATCCACAATAAGGTTTTCACTTAGTTTCTGGGTTTCTCTCCGGCCTATCCCCTCTGTTCTCTCTCTCTCTCTCTCTCTCTCTCACACACACACACACACAAACACCCATCGTTTGCAATACATAATATTATTCTGTGCCTATTTTTTTTTATATACATAAAATGTGCAAGACTACAATGAGGCATAGAGGGGGCAGAGAAGAGGTGGGGGTGATGTCGAGTAGAAGAGGGCAGAGAAGATGTGGGGATAGGATGGGTGTGTGTGTGAGAGAGAGAGATGAGGCATACCTAGGAGGGGTTAGCAGCAGCGGTGGTGTTGCTGGTGGTGTTGCTGGTGGTGTCGCTGGGGTGGCAGTGGTGTTGCTGGTAAGAAGAAACAGAGGGAGGGAGATAAAGAGAGAGAGAGACAGGGTGGTGGGGAAAAAAATGGCCTCCGAAGAAGAAGCGATGTCCAGGCGACAGGTGAAGTGACCGAGTCTGACAGGTGAAGTAATTGACTTGATTTTGTGTACATCGGTGTCTTGTATATATTTTTAAAATGTTAGTCAAAGTTGTAAATTTAAGAGGATAGTCTACATAAAAATTGTTTACATGTATGAATTTTATTCATGTGTTGATACGTCTGGTCGATGCTTGCATTATGCGTTTATTATAATTATGCACAGATTAACAAGGTTATGCTTGAGTGGGGTCTACTATACTGGAGTAGGCAATATGTACCACCTCTGGGTTAGGGTGTGACAAGTAGACCCTCTTTGGTAACACCCTTTAATGTTCCAAAGAATAAGCTTTTTGTTTAGTGTTAGGCTTGAAAAACCAGTAGAGATCGTTTTATGCTCGTTAGCCTATACTAGAGCGGTCTATTTATCACTTAGGGAGGAGAAAGGGGGAAAGACCACAAAATGAGAATAAGGCTTGCTGAAGCAGTNGACTATACTGGAGTAGGTAATATGTACCACCTCTGGGTTAGGGTGTGACAAGTAGACCCTCTTAGGTAACACCCTTTAATGTTCCAAAGAATAAGCTTTTTGTTTAGTGTTAGGCTTGAAAAATCAGTAGAGATCGCTTTATGCTCGTTAGCCTATACTAGAGCGGTCTATTTATCAATTAGGGAGGAGAAAGGGGGAAAGACCACAAAATGAGAATAAGGCTTGCTGAAGCAGTCCCTGACCTTGCTCAAGTGGTCTCATGGTCACTCGAGCGGTCTACTCTCCTTGACAAGGTTTGAAATGCAATTTTCATTCTTATGACCACTGTCCTTTGACTTCCACCCCCCCCCCCAACTAATCATGCAGTCATTCACAAATCAGAGTTTTCTTATTGTTCAAGATTACCTATATTTTGGACTTATAAATAAGGAGAGTCTTTTTTTCAGCTAGGGTAAGTCTCTTGTAATCCTTTTTAAAGTCAAAACTCATCTTCTACCTTGAGTGCTTCCTCCACAACCCTAGATCCCTAAGACCCAAAGCTAGCTTATATATATTCTACATGACCTCACAACTTGGAGTGAAAAACCTTGAATTGTGTAAACCAAACTCATTGTTGTGTGCATACTAGGGATTGTTGGCAANAAGATTACCTATATTTTGGACCTATAAATAAGGAGAGTCTTTTTTTCAGCTAGGGTAAGTCTCTTGTAATCCTTTTTAAAGTCAAAACTCATCTTCTACCTTGAGTGCTTCCTCCACAACCCTAGATCCCTAAGACCCAAAGCTAGCTTATATATATTCTACATGACCTCACAACTTGGAGTGAAAAACCTTGAATTGTGTAAACCAAACTCATTGTTGTGTGCATACTAGGGATTGTTGGCAAGCTCACGATTGCTCAAGACCTAGAGGATCCATTTGCGGAGGTGAATCTAAGTGAAGCTACACAAAACGTCGGAGAGGTACTTCAGCAGAGAGATATATTAAACGAAGGGAGCATCTAAGTATGGTATTGGTTGAGGTATAAGACTCGAGTCCTTGTATGTTGACTTTGAAGTAATGAATTAGATTTTGGTAAGCCCAACGAGGTTTCCCGTAGTTTTTCTTGACAAGGGTTTTCTGCATCAACAAATTGCTCATGGTTATCTTGTTTGTTTACATATACACTTGTATTTGTTAGCACATATGCACACTATGTATTTGTATGTATGATTGATAGAAATATATTCATCTATAGTAGCATTTGGGTTTTACATTTTGGGTCACCACGAGATTGAGCGATTGAGTGAATTAATTGAATATTAATTAACATCAATCTTAATGGGTATAAGGGATTGTGGTAATAAAAAGGGGTTCTAACACTAGATTGTTATATCTTTGTGCGAAGAGGTAATTGAGAGAGTTAAGTGCTAATTTATAATCAATCATGCATAAAATCAAAAAACCTATTTGCCACCCCTCTAGAAAGTGTCATGCACTCTAAGTGTATAATCGTGAGGGAAGATCCACATCATTTCTCCACCCTCCCAAAACAACAATTGCTATCAGAGCATGGTTGCCCTGAGTTGCACGTACACACACCTAAGAGTTTTACTTATTGAAATCTATCATTGCTATAAGTTAGTCCTGAATGGAGTCTTAAAAAATAAGGCAGGTCAATTATACAACCACCTCTCTTCGATGGATCTAATTTTTCCTATTGGAAAGCTCACATGAGAGCATTTTGTATAATTTTTAGATGAAAAAGTTTGGTTGAGAGTGCAAGAGGGTTGGATCCCTCCCACCACCACTACACAGGTCGAAGGTGGTGAGGCAATGGTTGAAGTGAAATCCCCGAAGTCATGGACTAAGACTGAGATTGAATCGATGGCTGGGAACTCAAATGACTTGAATGTGATATTCAATGCCATAGCACCTAATGAGTTCCGAAGGATCACTAATTGCGAGACTTCCAAAGAAGCCATGGACATGTTAGTTGTCTCCCACAAAGGGATTTCCATGGTAAAGATGTCCAGACTCCAAAGGTACACACCTCAGTTCGAGACTTTGAGGATGGAAGATGATGAAATATTTAGTGAATTTTATGCTAAATTATGCGACATCGTAAATTCATCTTTTGCATTATGTACCAAAGTTGACAATGCTTCCATAAAATGGAAAATCTTCTTATCTATATCTGAAAGGTTTCATGCAAAGGACATGTCCTTAGAGACGAGCAAAAACATGGAGTCGGTGTCGGTAGAAGACCTATTTGGGTCGATATTGGCTTTCGAGATGAACCTTCCATCAATCAAGAAAGTAAAGGGCATGGATTTAATATCAACTAGATAAGAGGGAGGGAAATTTGAGTCACCCAGATTAGGAGAGGAAGACCTAGCCTTAATTGCAAGGAAGTTCAAAAAATACTTCAATGCTAGCAATGTAGAGTCCTCGAGGTTCAAAGGAAAGCCTAGTAGACCTACTACTCCTAAAGAGGGAAGAGAGAAAGGGGAAAAAGGGTTGATAAATAAGGGCAAGCCTTCCCAATGATTTGAGTGTCAAGGATTTGGACATAAGGCTTTGGAATGCCCGAATTGATTAAAGAAAGATTCATCCAAAAAGAAAAAAGGAGAGTTATTAAGGGCAAATGGAACGATAGTGAAAGTGAGTTCATTTTGAGTGATGACTCCTCTTCTCAAGATGATGAAGAGAATTTCAAGGCCTTTATAGCTCCATTCTCCTCTCCCCCTAGAGAAACTTCAATGAGTGAAGTTGAGGAAAGTCCTACCATGAGCGTAGAAGACTTGGAAGAAGAAATTCCCATATGTGTGGAGGATGAAGAGTATTTTGAGGATATACAGGACATCTATGACCAATTGTATGTACAATTCCTCAAACAACAAGAGAATTTGACTTCCATAAGTGGTCAGGTAAACTCAAGTGAAGAAGATAGAAAAGCACTTCATATGGATTTGGTGAAGTCTAAGGCCCAAATATGTGGGCAAAAGGAAGAGAATTAATATCTCCTTGATCAAGTGAGCTTTCTTGAGAGAGAATGTCAAGAGCTTGTAAAGTCTAAGAAGAATTTTGAGCCAAAATATGCAAAACTTAATAAAGACCTTCATGATTCAAATGAACTCTCTAAAGACTACCCTTAAGTAATGAAAAGTTTGATATAATGTTATCCATGGGAAAAAGTGTGGGTGACAAGGGTTGTCTGGGCTACATACATGAACACACTACCAACACTTTTTCCAAAATCGTGTTTGTGATTGTGGAGAACGTGGTCATCATAATAGACATTGCATGAAAAATAGGGATATTTTAAATAAGAAGCTCTTGCATCTAGCCTACTATTCCAAATATTTAAACCATCGAGTTTTAAACTTTTCTAAGCTTTTGGAAACGTCTAGTGAGTCAAAGCATATGCATGCATCATCATCAAATGGACCACATGGTAGAGTACACACTTCTGGGGAGAAAAGAGCTAGTCCCCCACTCATTATCAGACCTAACCCAAGTTTTAAGAAGGAAAAACAAGTTTTGGTGATTAAGGAGGACCTTGAGAAACTAACCATTTCAGCCAAGTTGGAGGCTCCAGGTGCTTCTAACAAGGTCATGGTTTCTAAGAAATAGGAGAGGTTAGAGTTTGGACCTAGGTGCTCATTAATGCATTGCATTAAACACCCTAGAGTCATACATTGTATATATTTTTCTTTGTTTATTTTGATTTATTTTATCTATATGAAAATTTCAAAAACCAATACAAATTTGAAAAACCCAAAAACAAAAGAAATTAGCAAATCCAAAAATGGTTTTAACGTCAAGTTTGACATTTGTTTTAGAATTTATGATAATTGATTTATTTGTTCTTTTCATTGTTTATTTGTATGTTTATGCACATTTTTCTTTTTATTTGTTTATTTGAAAAAATATGAGAAAAGAAAAGGCAAAAAGATTTATTGTGTTTATTTTTTTCTTGTTAATAATCATACTAATTCATACTTTGGTTTGCATTATAATGATTTCATCCTTAAATCAAAGTTGAAAGGTGCATTGTTATAAGTCATATTAGAGGATAGAGAATTTAGTGGCATAAATCTTTGTGCGTGATTCATAAGCCAAAGTCTCTTTCACCCAAATGTGCTTGAATAGTATTTACCTTCAAAAAAAATTCATAAATCAAGTACACACCAACAATTCACCTTCATGCTTTAGAGTCTTATTACTTTGAACTATTAATGATCTTAAGTGATTCTAAGTGTTGGTGATAGCTGAACACAGAACTAAAGGTTAGTTAAACACAAATCCCTTAAAAATTCCAAATGCCAATTCTTTGAAAAGAGCCCAATGTGGCCAATCTTTAAAAAAGTGAGGCATAAATAAATGGCTAAAAATAATTGCATTTAAATTGTTGAGAGTACTTATGCTTAATTCCATTGCTAATTTGTAAATCTCATAGAGCTCATGTTAATCATGATTAAAAGCATATTGTTAAAAGTATGGAATTCACAATCATGTTAATTGAAATCATAGAGAATAAGGGATAAAATAAAGGGGGAGTTATCTAAAAAAAATCAGTAAGACACTCACTAACCAGTCATGTATTTACTTAGATAATGGATTAAGATTTCATGTTAAGCTTATTAATGATTCTAGCTAAGCGCAATCCTAGTTGTGTTGGAGTTTGGTTTCTCACTTGTTGCACTTTGTTGTTTCGAGCATGGGGAAACGAAGTGGATCTTCCCCCACAATTATACAGGTGGAGTGCATGAAACCTCCTAGAGGAGAGTGAATAGGTTTTTCAATTTTAAGCACAATTGGTTTCCAATTAAAATCTAATCTACCACAATTACCTCTTCTCACAAAGATTAGTCAATTAATTAGTGAGAAACCCTTTTAATCACCAATATCCCTTACACAAGTGATTTGTTAATGCGAAAAAACCTCCACGAGGAACCACTCGAGATTCACCAAAGCCCAATCCACTACTCTCAAGTCAATCTACAAGTATTGAGTATTATACCTCAACTGATACCATAGCTAGATGCTCTTTTCCTTCGTAGATCTCTTCACCGAAAATGCCTCTCCGACATCGTGTGTAGTTTCACTTGAACTCCCTGCCATATGGTTTGTTTAGGCTTCAAGCAATCATGGACATACCAACGATGCCTGATATGTACACATCAATGAGTTTGATTCAAACCATCAAGATGTTCAACACCAAGTTGTAAGGTTGGGTAGAATTTCTAGTTATTGTAAAACCCCGATTCAATCATGTAACATCCAAAGCACTAATAACCTTCACAATCACTAAATGATACAGTCTCCAAATAATGAATAAACTTCGATACTAATTTCATATACATTAATTACATGTACATCCAGACTATTACAACTTACACGTCTCAGATTTAATACTCTTTCAACTTAACCCTTATAACATAACACGTCTTCAAGTCTTCACTAAAGAAAATAAAGAAAACATCAACTGTTCAAACATGTGCAGACTTCCTCGCCACCAGCTAATCTGAAAAATGGGACATAATGTAGGGTGAGTATTAACAGCCCAATAGAGTAACTCAATTTCCAAGAAAATGAGTTTGAAAATAGTATAGTTTAGCATGTTTGGGCAAAAAACCAAACGAGCATTTGATACATCTATATGAGAAACAGTAAATGTTGAGCAAAAATAGTTAGGTTTGAAAACAATAATACAGTCACAACATCAATACAGTGCCACACAGGTGAGCAAATAATCCTAATAGACCACTCAAGGTCAATACGATCCATATGAACGTACGATCCAATAATTTAGGGGGACTTTCACCCCAAGGAAGATACGCTCTCACGTCAATACAATACAATTCAGTACTTAAGTCCGAAGACCAACAAGGTCACCTAGGCATTTATGAACTCAATGAGAAACCTTCTATGGCCTCAACCTAGAACATAAACCCTCTACCACCCAAACCTTTGTGCAGTTACATTTCATTTAAATGGATCTCTGAGTTTCATTCAATACAAGGAATTTAAGCAATACAATCATTTCCAAAACATTAGTGCAAACCGCACTTAGAAACCCTGCATTTAGGTCCAGATCCAAGTCAATATTTGAAACACAAACACCCAATCAGATATTTCAAAACATGCTAAAACATCACAAATAAATTATGGAATAATTTAGAAACAAGTTGGAAAAGTATCGCCCGTTCCCGAATTGAGAAACCCTACTCGCTCGGTATTTTAATATGAAATAACCAAAAAATAAATAATGTTATTTTTTGATAAAATTTAATAAACATGCTCAATTAACCTACCTAAGAATGTACATAAAATTTATTTTCTCAAAATCACGCAAAACTAGGTCAAATTGATCTCATATGGCAAAACAGTAATTTTATTCCACATTTTGATCCAACCATTGGATCGCCTTGAAATTTTATTGGGACCTCCGCATGAACATTATGGGACTTTTGACACAAATCAGAGGTTGATTAGAGGTCGGAAGAGGCCATAATTTCCGTTGGAGTCCACTGGTATCCTCCACCCCACTTCATCTTCAACCTTTGTTTGTTTTACTTTTGCCCTAAGTGCAGAAGTTTCTGCTCAACCACCCTACTTTGACCCCCTAGTTTTTCCACTACAGTACATGATCTCCATTGATTTCAACATCCAATTACTCTTTGGATATCCTAGCTTCAATCCCCCTTAGACTCAACCTTCGAATTCAATTCTAACATCATCAACTTATTGGTCGAAGTTGGACAAAAACCATTTTTTAAACACAAGGACAGAACTACAACTGCCTGTTTCACCCCCAAAACGACCTCTAAATCCAATTCCAAGGCTGGAAATGGATTCCTTGACCCCAAATTTGTTAGACCCAAGCCCCTTTTCGAAGCTTAAACAAGTTTTTATTAAAATTATATTTTCACTTCTTAAAACCCTCACTACACTGTTACACCACCACACACTACAGCAAACCACCACTAAACAACTGCTCAAGACCCCCCAAACTCAACCATACTAAACAATTAACCCAAATCATACTCAAATCTCAAACCCATTTCAAAATCCAAAAACCCATTAAATTTTAAAACANACAGAACTACAACTGCCTGTTTCACCCCCAAAACGACCTCTAAATCCAATTCCAAGGCTGGAAATAGATTCCTTGACCCCAAATTTGTTAGACCCAAGCCCCTTTTCGAAGCTTAAACAAGTTTTTATTAAAATTACATTTTCACTTCTTAAAACCCTCACTACACTGTTACACCACCACACACTACAACAAACCACCACTAAACAACTGCTCAAGACCCCCCAAACTCAACCATACCAAACAATTAACCCAAATCATACTCAAATCTCAAACCCATTTCAAAATCCAAAAACCCATTAAATTTTAAAACACAAATTAATGCATTAATACCAAACCAAATCAAAATCTAAATACATAAATGAGTTCCTAACATCCATATTAGACTATGAGTATACCACTTAGTGTTAGAAGTAGTCTCTGTAAGAATCCAAAATTTCAAAGTTTATATTTTCTTTCTCTAACTTCTCTTTCTCCTCTGTCTTCCTACCGGATTTTTCTACATTTTATCCAACCCCAGGCATCTCACTCAGTTTTCCCCAAGCAGTTGGGTGTCCTCCATGCAACCTAAGCCTTCATCAGCCACCTTGCATGTGTAGAAGAACCTTGAAGCTTCAATGACATTTTGGTAAATTCTCAATTTTGTCTAATTTCAAAAATTAATTAAAAATAATATATTTTTTTTCACAATTACATATATATTAAATCAAGCAATATAAAATTATCTGTTAAATTTTTGGACATCAAATTGATCTCCAATTTCATCTGTTAATGCAACTCCCGCATTCTTAATTCACCAATATGCATTAATTCTACTTCGTTTATTTGTGCTTCCCGACTCATTTCTTTTTCACTAATCACACTCCTACACCTAGCAGACCTCCTAACTTTCTCTAGAACATCTATGCACCGCACTAGAGTCGTCAATTTACAATCCACATATCCATACTCCAAACCCCTAATCTCAGATTTTCTTGTTCCCCACCAGATTGATAAAATCATCACAAGTAAACTCTTTAATATGATAAATTTGTGTTCATCACAAATCAATTTCTTCCACTACCCACAAGTCGTCATCCTAAGTAACTAAACCTAACACAGTCTAAAAAATCCCAAACCTATGCTCTGATACAAATTGTAAAACCCCGATTCATTCACGTAACATCCAGAGCGCTAATAACCTTCACAATCACTAAATGATACAACCTCCAAATAATGAATAAACTCTTATACTAATTTCATATACATTAATTACATGTACATCCAGACTATAGCAGCTTACACGTCTCAAATTTAATACCCTTTCAACTTAACCCTTACAACATAACACATCTTCAAATTGTCACTAAAGAAAACAAAGAAAACATCAACAGTTCAAACATATGCGGACTTCCTCGCCATCAGCTACTCTGAAAAAGGGGAAATAATGTAGGTGAGCATCAACAACTTAGTAGAGTAACTCAATTTTCAAGTAAACGAGTTTGAAAATAGTATAGTTTAGCATGATTGGGCAAAAAAGCCAAATGAGCTTTTG